CGACGTCAATTGAAAATTGAAAAAGATTTTCCCGCGCGACGATCACATCAAAATTCCCATTTCCCACTGCAGAACAAAAAAGAAGTTATGGCAACAGTTACCCATCGCGCTCTCTAAGGCGCGATCAACTACCAACTGTCGTGGGACTATCCCGACCTCGATTCCGAAAAACAAGAAAAGCAAGGGCACCCACATAATCCAACAGACCATCCCGCTTCAACCCCCAAAGTAGCCTTGCGTAGAAAGTCACGCAGTCGCAGAAAACGATCGTCACAACCTGACCCCTACTTCCCCACTCAACCATGGTTGAAGCGGATGCCATGCAAGCCCTGTTGCACGGGTTCTAGGTGAAAACCAAGATGTTGTACAGGCTACCTTGTTCTATAGCGAAAGAAAAACGAGCACTAACCCCCTGGCCATAATACTTAATTCATACCCCACTCATTCAACGGAAAAAAGAATATGGGCCTCGCTGCACTACTCTAGACTCTCGAAATATTTCAAGAGTTCGACTACCATTGTCAGAGAGGCGAGACTCTCAAAATAACCGCCTTCGCTGGACTTACTATAGAACCTTTTACACCAAATGAACTCCCGAAACCCTGGGTGTCGTCTGACTCGACAGAAGAGCTGCACCACTGCGCTACGGGACAAAGTCTGGCTGCCGGGACAAGAGGTCCACTCTCGAAAAACGAGCCTGTCGGCGGGCAACTCCCGAGGACACTTGCAAATTCGTTCTTTGTAGGCGGGCAACTTTCGACGTTTCGAGAGTGGCGTTATATTGTGGCTTCTGACTGACACAGCTCTCAATCGGGTTTCCAGAGTTTCCCAATTGAGAGTAAGTGCAGCGAAGACCCACTCTCAAAACTTCGAGAGTCTAGAGTTGTGCAGCGAGGCCCTATACGTATTGCCTTGGGCACTGGGCCCTGCTATAATAAGTAAACGGTTTGAGGGAAAATAAATAAATAAATGTACCTATAATCTATCGTCAAACAGAGCATATATATATGGGCCTGCCACACCACTTTCGAAATGTGAAAAAGACAAAATTGTGGCGGGTGCATCTGGCCACGTTAGAGCAGGAAGTTCATTCTCATATTGCACATTTCGAGAGTTGTGTGGTGATGCCATATGTATTCACTACGTATAGGGCCTCACCGGACGGCACAACTAACGAAACTTGAACGACCACCAAACTCACGAGGCCACGCGAAGCCCGAATCCACCATTTCACTCCGTTTTTCGCCTCACTGCCCCACAACACACACGAAAACTCTCGCGAGAATGCCAAACGAGAGTCATGCGGGATTCTTTTTGCTATGGTCCAACTTTGCAGATAGACCTCGGTTGGAGCTACGCGGCACACTCGTGAGATTTCGCAGCTCTTCCAGGGGGTCGCCGCACGGTGCACGAAACAAATAAAAAAACGACTTCGTTTCGTGAATGAGTCGCCAGACAACACCCACACGACCTTTGTCAGAACACAAGTCGTGAATGTTGTCAGACTCCAAGTTCGTGAGGTAAACAGCACACACGGAAACTCGTAGGCCGTCCCTACCTACAATGCTCGCGAACTCGTAGGCCCTCCGCTGGTAGGCTGGAGGAGCTGCGAAATCCAACGAGTGTGTCGCGTTGCTCCAACCGAGGTCCGTTTAAAAATTTGGACTGTAGCGAAACGAATCCTGGTCTACTCTCGCCAGGGCGTTCTCGTGAGAGTTTTCGTGTGTGTTGTGGGGCGGTGAGGCGAAAAGCGAAGCGAAACGGTGGATCCGGGCTTCGCGAGGCCTCGCGAGGCCTCGCGAGTTTGGTGGTCGTTTCGTTTCTTTAGTTGTGTCATCCGGCGAGGCCCCCAGCCGGCCAGTGGAGGACCTACGAGTTCGTGAGCGCTGTAGGCAGGGAAGACTCGCGCAAGATGTTAACCTCTTGCACTTGGAGTCTGATAGCATTCACGACTTGTCTTCTGACAGAGGTCGTGTGGGTGCTGTGCGACGACTCCTTCGCAAAAGGAAGTCATTTTTTTTTTCCATCTCGTGCACCGTGCTCTGACGAACCACTTTCTGTAGCGCGCGATTTTCTGCGCGGTTGCAATGAGGGGTCCTAAGCTGGGAAGGTTGGGCCAATTACAGGAGATTGGGATGAATGCGAAATTGCATCAGTGTCCTCGTTTCTTTGTCGTTTTCGTCGCCTCTTTTTGGATGGTTGGGTTTGGAGTCGGGTGAGTCCCGGGACAATCGATTGATTGATTGGCTGTCTCTGCGGCGCGCCGCCAAGCGCGCGATTAATAAATTTTGATGTCATTTCTTTTTGGTTCGGTTTCAGAACTTTTGGGCGCGGACATCGCGCGGAAATTTGCTTCGTTCTTTTTTAATTTTCTTTTTAAATTCTTTTTTGAATTTTGTCGAGCCCCGATGGCTCTCGGAATTGCGGACTTTTCTTCCGGAACCTCTACTCTTGCTTTTCCACATTAGTTCGGAATTAAGGAATTTTGTAATTAGGACTTTCTTTTGTCGCGCGACACCTTTTTGCTTACGCGCTTCCTTATGCGGCTACAACGGAATTCTGATAAGTCGGCGCCTTTAATCGGGTGTGCAACTGTAATCTTGGGTTGGCACCATTGTAACTATATCTTTCTTCTTGCGTTTCGTCTCCCCCCCCCTCAGTTTTATTTTTTTCGGTTTTGCATGTTTTGAT